GTTTGCATAGGCACACCCACTCGCCTGGCATGAAACACAGCAACTGAAAGTGGTTACTTTGGCTGGTGTGGGATCCCCAGTTTCTCTATTATTGGGGCAGGAATAATAAAGTTTTGTTACCCTGATTCTGTGAATCAAGGCCAGTGGAACTGTTGTATGACAGAAGGACTGAGTGAGTCCTTCCCCATTACCTAAGTAGCACTTGCTTGACAAGGGGCATGGGTTACAAAACCCAGTGAATGGAGAGAGGATAGGGACAGGGGTGTGTACCTGATGGTATGGGCCCCCTCTGAGGGTTTGAAACACCAATTGCACCGCCTCCTCTCTCCACTGTTGAATATCAGAGTAAACTTTGATTCCCTTAGGAGTCTAGTTACAGGCTGCTGAGCTGAATTCACTTTGGGCCAATGGTGCACCAGCACTGGGGCTCCCCTACTATACTATGAGCTGAAATCGCTAAGAGCTGAAATCACAAAAGAGCTGATGTTATTAAGAGCTGAGATCACTGAGGCTGTGTTAACTAGTGGGGGAGCCTGAAGCTATATTGCTCAGCAGCTGGCGGAGCAATTTGTGGGGACAACTGGAAGAGCAGCGAGCGGCGTGGAGCCTTGCGGGGCCGGTTGGAGTGGCCCAAGGAACGGTGAGCGGAGCTGTTTGCGGGGACGGCTGGAACGGCTCACAGGTCGGTGAGCGGAGTGGAGTGGAGCAGCTTGTAGGGCGGAGCAGTTCGTGGGATGGCAGGAAAGTGGACTGGCTCGTGGTAAAGGCTGCGGCGGAACCCCCACAGAGAAACAGACGGCTGGCCAGCCTCGGATCACGTAAGGTGCCCCTTAACACCCTGCGTGCCCCCCCCCTTTTACTCTGGGGCTGCACTGACCAGGGACAGAGACTTGGGGGGTTGTTGGACTTTTGGGACTTTGGGTGGTTGCTGGACCCAAGAGACTTTGGGGATGTTGGACTTTGGGGACTCTGGGTGATTTTTGGGTTGCTGGATTCAAGAACCAAAGGGAAAGGACACAGCCCAATTTGCTGGGGTGGGTTTTGCTCATGGTTTGTGTTATGAATCCTGTTTGTGGTGTTTTTCCAATTTTATGCTGATGTCGTTTACCTCATGTTATTAAACATTTTCTGCTACACTCAGACTCCGTGCTTGCGAGAGGGGAAGTATTGCCTCTTAGAGGTACCCAGGGGGGTGGTATGTAATTGTCCCAGGTCACTGGGTGGGGGCTCGAGCCGGTTTTGCATTGTGTTATTGAAACGGAACCCCTACATACAGAACCCGACCCTTGTTGCTGCCAACTTAGATGGGCAGAAGGGTTACATTAGAATTTGTCCTGAATTGATACTCTCAGTTGTGTCCTGCCAGAGGCTGCTTCGTTACAAAAGCCTGTACAGATGAAACTCTCTCTGTAGCCATACTTCGTCCTATTCACCAATAGATGAGATCAGAGAGGTCCTTCTCCTCTGTCCATCTAGAGTCCTGGGTAAATAGTTTATACAGGTGAAGCAGCACAGTGGCCATTCTTCCCAGTGCTCACCAACAGATGGAAGCAGAGAGCTCCTATCCCCCTAGAGCTTCAGGCCACATGGATTTACACTGGGCATAACAATACAGAGAAAATTATGTTAAACACCTGACTACTGTTTGCATGTGACATACTACCTTGGCTGGGCTGTTTCTCTGCTGGAAATTCTTCATAAGATCTTTTTTGCTCCTCAGTGTGATGCAGCTACTGTCTCCAAAAATACAAGATTAGCAGCTTGCAGCTATCCTTTAATTAGGTTATAGGCTCCATAAAAATGTAAGTTTTTTTTTTTGTAAGGCACATTGGGTATTGCCATAAAAGCAATGACAGTTAGTCACCCATACTTAGTTGCAGTAGCTGTTATTCTTGGCATCTGTTTTCTGCAGATAAGTGTTAAACAACAGCTGTCTCACATTAAGGAGCTTAAAAAAAAAGTACAACATCTCATTAATTGCTATTTCACTCTTTCTTAACAGACCCACTTTAGAGACCTTTAGTTAGCAGCTCTTGCTGTTCATGCTGAGTGGAACTCATTTCCATTGCTATTAGGATCATTTGGAGAGTGTTACACATCACATATCTCAAGTTTATTGTGAACATTCTGAAATCACAATTTCTGTTTAGGATGCTCCACATCACATTGTTGATGAAGCTATCTGCATCTATGAACTTGGAAGCACATGGTGAAAAATCAGAATATTAAATGAATAATCTATCATCTTGTAGCCTTAGGGCAACCTATTCCCCTTTAATTCATCCAGTAACTGTGAACCCCAACATTCTGCTTTCCTTCCATGCATGGAACTCCCAGGAATCCCATTCCCAGTGGGAAAGGAGTTCCACACGTGAAAGGAGAGCGAAATCTGGGAAATTAAATCTGAAAGAATTTTTCTCTAAGGTAGGAAATGTCATAGTCTGAATGCATTTATACAGATGCATTATAGCATGTAGCTACAGGGGACCGCAAACGGGAGTTTGAGAGAGGGCGAAGGAGATCGCCTGCTGAACAAACAAGGTGTGAGTACTAACTTTGGGGTGAGTGAGTTTGTTTGGCTGTTTGCGTTTTTCTTTTTTTTTTTTCTTTCAGGTTATTTCAGTTACAGGGTCAATTGGGTCAATTGGGATTGTGTGCTGGGGACAGTTTGCGCCTTTGTTCCCTTGATCATCCATGATCAGCCTCAATCAGCCTTGTGAGCACACACCCCCTGTGTGATTAACGAGGGGGTAGGGCTGACCTAGGAGGGAAGGCCTTAAAAGTCAGAGACTAAGGGCATGGTTACACTTGCAGATGTAGAGCACTTTGAGTTAAACCAGCTTTCGTAGAGGACAGTAGGGAAGGCGCTGTAGTCTGTCCCCACTGACAGCTGACAGTGCACTGGCGTGGCCACATTAGCAGCTTTTGCAACAGCCACAGAGAGCAGTGCATTGTGGTCGCTAGCCGAGCATGCAAGTGGCTGCAACGTGCTTTTCAAATGGGGTGGGGTGGAGTGTGACAAGGAGTGTGTTGTGTGTATGTGGGGGGAGAGAGAGTGGGTTTTTGGTGGGGCTGATAGTGAGTCACCATGCTGTCTTGTAAGTTCAGACAGCAGCAGATCTCCCGCTCCTGGCCTCTCTCTCTCACACAGCATTCCACAGTAATGGCTTGCATGCCGGCTGTCAGGAATGGAGCTTTGAAAGGGCATTTCCTCATTCCTACAGGAGGTCAAAGCAATGCCAAGAGTGGCCACTTGACTTAAAGGGATTATGGAACGTTTCCAGAGGCCGATCAGAGCGCAGTAATGCAACACCTCGTTCACACCGTGCGTTGTAGCCAATGCGCAGTAAATGTTATTCCTCTCGCCGAGATGGATTACCAGGAGCACTCTAGCTGCGGAGTCAGAGCGCTCTACATGCCTTGCCAGTGTGGACAGGGAGTACGCTAGTGCGCACGGGGCTCCTTTATTGCGCACTAAGTCGCAAGTGTAGCCAAGGCCTAAGCCACCAAGGGGAGCTTGCAAACAGGGGAGTTTGGGAAAGGGAGTCATACTATAATCCTTAAGGTTAGGAAGGGCCTCATAACCAGTGCCAACACTGCTCCTGTCTCCTCCACCTGCACCTGAATCCAGACAGAGAACCTAACCATGGAAGCCTCTACGCAGATCCTGGTGTGGTTTTGCAGAGACTGTGGCCTGCATTTGCCACTGACAGAAAGCCAGGCTGAGGGGACCATCCAGTGTCAGAGGTGCGTACTGGTGGACTCTCTCAGGAAGCAGGTGGAATAGCAACAGGAGGTGGCTAGGCTGAGGAGAATCCATGCACATAAGGAAATCATTGACAGTATTCATATGGAGCTTCCCAAGGTTGAGGCTATCCAGCTAGACAGAATTGCGGTCAAGCCCCCGGGGGAAGAGGATAAGGCTCTGGTACAGGGAGGACACTGGCTGCTGTTTACTTCTGGCAGCAGGCAGTGCACCACCCCTACTCCCAAACCACCCACCATCAAGATGGAGAACTGTTATCCTGCCCTGGCAATGAGCAATGAGGACTCACCCCCAAAGATGGAGGAGGAGAACCCATGTACCCCAAAGCTGAGAGAATCACAGCCAGCACTCAAAGGAGGAAACATGGGTAGTAGTGGTTGGAGACTGTTTTCAGAGAGGGACGGAGGCACCCATCTGGCACCCTGAAATGTCATCCCAGGAGGTATGCGGTCTCCCGGGGCCTGTACCAAGACGATACAGCAGGATTGGGGAGAACCACTCACCATTCACCACTACCCCATGCTACTCATCCACGTGGGCACTATGAGGTATGTCACGCTCTGGCTTCGAGGGGGCGCAGGCCAGTGTGGCGGCGCCTTTTCCCCGAGAGCCCAGGGGAGGAAGTGGGAACTCCGCCTCTGACAAGATCCACAGCAACCGCCCACCCCAAAAGGACCGAAGGCAGCCCCAACGAAACAAAAGGCTGGCAAGCGGCTGTCAGGAGTGGGATTCGAACCCACGCCTCCGGAGGAGACTGCGGCCTTAACGCAGCGCCTTGGACCGCTCGGCCACCCTGACGGGAAGGGGCAGCCTGCTGCTGGCGCTCTCTTGCCCGTTCCTTGCGGCGGCGGCAGGTGCACACCACCCACCAGAGTCCCTCTCTGGCTTCGCCGGGGCGCAGGCCAGTGTGGCGGCGCCTTTTCCCCGAGAGCCCAGGGGAGGAAGTGGGAACTCCACCTCTGACGAGATCCACAGCAACCGCCCGCCCCAAAAGGACCGAAGGCAGCCCCAACGAAACAAAAGGCTGGCAAGCGGCTGTTAGGAGTGGGATTCGAACCCACGCCTCCGGAGGAGACTGCGGCCTAAACGCAGCGCCTTGGACTGCTCGGCCACCCTGACCAAGCTGGGAGGGGCCCCTTTAGGGGGGAGTCAAAGAGAAAGCACCCCAGTGCAGCACCACCACAGGGGGCTCCCTCCCCAGGCCCCAGCCCCGAGGGGGTGGAAAGAGAGGGCTTGTCAGGGGTGGGATTCAAACCCACGCCTCCGGAGGAGACTGCAACCTGAACACAGTGCCTTAGACCGCTCGGCCACCCTGACGGCCTGTGGGAGGTCCCGCCGCTAGCTGTCGGCCGGGAGGCCAACGCTCAGGCGCACCGGAAGTGGAGGCCCGCTGTGGCGGCCCCTTACCTAGCGCCAAGAAAAGGGCCCGCGGCTCCCAGCCACCAAGAGGTGGGCGAGGAACGCCTACCAGCGCAGCAGGCAGAGACGAGACTGTCAGGGGTGGGATTCGAACCCACGTCTCTGGGGGAGACTGCGACCTTAATGCAGCGCCTTGGACCGCTCGGCCACCCTGACGGGAAGGGGCAGCCTGCTGCCGGTGCTCTCTTGCCCGCCCCTTGCGGCGGCGGCAGGTGCACGCCACCCACCAGAGTCCCTCTCTGGCTTTGCCGGGGCGCAGGCCAGCGTGGCGGCGCCTTTTCCCCGAGAGCCCAGGGGAGGAAGTGGGAACTCCGCCTCTGATGAGATCCACAGCAATCGCCCGCCCCAAAAGGACCGAAGGCAGCCCCAACGAAACAAAAGGCTGGCAAGCGGCTGTCAGGAGTGGGATTTGAACCCATGTTTGGCCTGCTGTTCACTGGAGTGTGAAATGTGTGAATGTTTTCCATGTACGTCACATGTGTGGGGTGGGGCTAATCTGTGTTGTGTGGTATATAGAGCCATGTGGTTGGTGAAGTGCTGAGCTGGCGAACAGGAGCTGCAAACAGAGGAGTTTCAGAGGGAGTTCTGGGGGGAGGGTTTGGACATAGGTAAACCGGAACAGGTACCCCAAGTTGCCCCTAGAGTATTCTGAGAATGGAGGGCCTGGTCCCTAGGACAAGACAGGAAGCATTAGGCTTGTTCAGTCGTGGATATACAAGTCTGAGAGGGGACATGATTGCACTCATGAATGGGTTTGACGTTACTGACATAATCAGGGACCACATAGAACATGGTTGCAACCAAAGTCCTGTAGCAGCACCAAACCCTGTATATAGGGGGTCAAATGAGGTGTCTAAGACAAGGTTACAGTTTGCTGGTTATAATCATGCTGTCGATATGTGTGTATCAATGTGGTAGTTGAAGTTATGTATATTGGCTCTATACTATCTGTATTTCAAACTGCTGCTATGCTTCTGGGGAACATCCCAGACAAGTTGGTGTTAGCTTTGCCTAGCCTGCTTAATGGCCCATTAAGGACCATCAGCTGTACAACTGTCCTGTTGAGAGAAGGCCTTGTAACTAGCCAAGTATGCAGAAACTTGCCCATGTGACTCCAGACTCCATTTTGCTGTAATTTTCCACAGTAAGAACAAAGAGGGGTTCTTACACCTGAAAAAGACTATATAAGGCTGATGCCTCATCACCAACTTGTCTTCAATCCTGTGTTGGAGAAAAACAGAGTTTTTACTTGTTTGTTTGGGTACAGCAAGTTAGATGCTTTATTAACTCTTACAATTGTGCAGAGGGAGAGAGCTAAGCAGGTCTCCCCCTGATAACTAATTACAGCAAGCATTTATACCTTTTATTACAGAAATAATGAGGGACAGCTGCATTTTGTTTATACATAGGCCATCTTGATATTTTATTTCCTCACTTGTTTTGACTTTTGCCAACATACAATATTTTCTATACCTTATTTACACAAGGTCTTTTACACCTTATTTATACAAGGTCACAATAACTTCTTACACAGTTCTTTCTTACCCGCCTTACACAATCCTCGCTTCTACAAATTTCGCGTTATTAGGGTTACAGTTAGCCTGACTCTTGCTAACAAACTGTCATGCATAGCAGTTCTTTTCTGACAGTTCTTTTTCTGCTTCCACAACCCCCCCTTTTGTACTTTTAGTACAACAAACATTTTTAAACCTTTATTTGCATTAAGTTTTGGACTTTAGATTTTACATTAGATGTTTTAATTTTAGCGGTTTTGATTGGATGTAATGACAATGCATGATTAGCATGAACATGAAAGGTATTACTACTATTACGTTTTTTATAACAATAACATAATTTTAAGCTAACTAATAACAATATAAGCAATAACATTTTTATAGCAATACTATAATGGGGTTGTTGTACAGCTTTAGTTATAAAGCACAATATATTATATTTAGTACATAAAGTGGATACTTTATAAGCAGTGTGAAAGGCATACTTTTTAACTTGATATATATTTTGAAGCATGTGAATTTGCTTTTGTACTTTAGAGATTTTTTGAATTTTTGGTAACAGTAAAAACAAATTTTGAAATTTATTAGGTACTAAACTAGTTTAATTAAAGGGTATTTGGAACTTAAGGACTACTTGCAAAATTTTATTTGCAGGCCAGTAAATAATATGATTGCTTGCAGTGGTAGTGAGATTAAAATGCATGTCTAGCAATGTGGTGTTATTAACATACACACAGCTATTATTAGCTTGAAAAAGTAAGTGTTTTGTTAGGGTAGTTTTTTGTTTTTTATTTTTTTAGCAAACGTAGTTATAAACAGTGACAACTTTTTTTGGCTTCAGTTTACGTATACACTGAAGCTGTGGGGGTTTTAATGGCCAAAATGTTTATTGACTACCTAACCCTATTTAAATGTTAGGTGTAATTTTAGGAGCACTGACTAAAAATTGATTGAGCATACCAGGAGGTTTAATTTTTTAGATGTTTTGGTGAATTACCCAATTTTACATGCATTTTTTTTATGGACCCGGCAGGATTTAGTATGTGGGAGCCCACACCCCCCCCCCCAACGGTTCATATGCTTGGAAGGAGCACTGAGAACGTTCACACTTTTATTTAGAAAGTTTTTAAGTAAGTTTTTATGGCCACAGATTAGATGGTACTTTTGATGTGTTTGTAAGGGCAGTGGGCCAAGCCTGGTGTTTTAGATTATTTCGAATGGCCATTAGCTGGTCATTCAGGAAATTTTGAATTTCTGAACATGCTAGATCCCATTGCAATGCCTTTTTAGCCTTAGTGATATTTTATACTATTTTTGTTAGCAATTTTTGGGTTATAGAATTAAGGGCGGAAATAACATGTAACTTACTAACTTTAGTTTGTACCTGGGTTAGTTGTGCTTTAGAAACAAGGCTAATGGCCTTTTTTAGTTGGCCCAATTTTTTATTATGTTTTTGGTTTTTAAAAATATTTTAAATTGCTGCTGCACTATTGGCTCCATTTTACAGGGATTCGGTTAAGTTTTTTTTTTTTTTAGAGGAAATAACTTAAGCCCTTTGTTGTGCTAATTTAATGGCAGCCCCCTGTGAGCAATTTGGGTATTTGTTTAATTGTTTACTAATTGGGTGACCAAATAACAATAAGGGCCTTTTTTATTTAACTCAGTGCAAATTATAGGAACATTTGCTATAGAACCCATTAATTGCAATTACAGATTTTTGGGGTTTACTGGTAGTGATATTATACATTTTTATTTTTATTGATTTATTTAATTGTTTGCTTATATGGCTGTTAGCTAAGTCTTAGCTGTGGGTAGTATTTTTGGATGGAGCCAGCGTTTTATTTTTGGACTGAGCTTGCTAGCTATTTTTTTACTTTTTACTTATATATTTTTTTTTAATAATGAACACATACACATTGCCATTATACAGTACATTAGTTTTATTATTTAATGTATGCTATGTATATTCTTTTAGTAAAATAACTTTATTACAGAGCTTTGGAGCAACAAACCAGGACAAGCACACCCACTTTTGAGGAGTTCACTTGGTACAACTTTAGGTGTTCAATAGCTTTTTTTTTTTTTTAGTTTTTTGGCTAGAAATTTGAGGTAGCCAGAAGGATTCCATGGGCAATATGGGGAGTGGGTTAACCTTTCATGTTTTTGCTTTTAAAGACTGTTGGTATGCAAATTTTAACAATTTTTTTAATTAAAAAATTTGGCTAATGAAATTTTTTTTTTTATTTAAGCAATTGTATTAGACTTTAGTATATTAAATTTTTTTGATTTATTTAAACACTTTTTGTATTTTAAGTTGAATAAAACAAGTATTTGCTTTTTGATTTAACTTTTTTATTTAATTTTAAACTAGACTGTTTTATGAAAATATTAAACCCAACAATTTTGGCCATAAGACAAACACCACAAGACAGGACAAAGAACACAAAAATAATTTCTATTGTACCAGTAAATGCATGGTACATTGAATGCTGTTTAGCTGGCATTCGTTTTTTTTGATGATTTGAAAGACAAAAGAACAGAGGTCTACCCCTTTTGGGTAGTCAGTCATTGCTTAAAATACTTTTTTTATATACATATACTTTTGTTGATTTTAGACAAAACAGAGGAATTACCCCATATTTTTTTGTATTTGTTTTATAGGCAGCCCAGGTTTTAGTGGCTTTTACCTTATTAGTTAGAAAATTGCATTAATACAGATGCTTTTTGGCTTGCTTTTAGATTTAAAGCTATTTACAGCTTAAAGATTTTTACTTTAAAAGGGACACAATTAACTTTTTTAGACTTTTGATTGCCTTTTATTTTTAACTTTTGCTTTTAAACACCCAGTGATTTGAAAGAGACAACACAACCTATATTGGTAGGTTTGCATTTTTTTTATTTTTGCTACAATATACACTGCACATGTTTTGGGGAAAATGCACATTTTATTTATAATTTAATTTTTATAACACTAGCCATATTAATTTTTATACAAGGTGTAACTATTTTTTTTGTGCTTACAAAATTTTTATGCATTCCTAGTAAAGTGACAGCTTAACCACACAGAGCCAGGGGCACTGTTCTTTTTTTTTTTTTTTTTTACCAGTTTTTTTTTTTGCTTTTTTGTTACTCAAAAACAAATTTAAATTTTTTATTTTTTTTTTAACACCGGGTAAAGGCCATTTACTTAACATATAATTTGAAGGGCTATTTTTAGAGGGTTTTACCAGAGACCCACCCATTTGCCTGCTGACACTTTAACAGAGAATTACATAGAGAACAGAGGGAATTATGGCCTAATAGGATTTTATTACAGGAATTTTTACTAATACTGACCACTACAAGGGACGGGACAGAAGGATCCCAATTTGACCTCAGAGCTTC